TTTAAATAAATTTTTTTGTAGTTTAATTTTGTAAAGAAAATAATAGTAAAGTTAAATAGAATATTTTTAAAAATAAAAAGAAAAATTTGAAAATTTTGCTCTAAACTGAGATCAAAGCAATAAATTCACAAATAAATATAGATCCGAGTTGTATATTTTTGATCGTCTTGACACGGATAACCCAATTTACAGTATTATTGCGAATTATATTGCCGAAATTTCATGTAGCAAGAATCTAATTCAAGAAAAAAAAAAAAACTGCAACAATAAAAAGATTTAATCTTTTTTGGGCGGAGGTTTGGATTGAGATTGGACCTTGAGGATCCTCTTAACAATCTTTTGTTCTTCAATCAAGAAAGCCTGGACGATACAGTCTCTCATGCATCTAGCACAACGACTACCACTGTAAGCTCATCGAACTGTCTTCTGACATTTAGAAATTCGTGCGTATTTGCGTGATCAGAGAGCTGGAATTCCTGTAAGCCTGTACCCACAAACACCACAGTGAGGACCTTTAGCGGGTTTCTTTTTGTATAGCCAAGTAAGTTTGCTACCAGAAGTTTTGATTACTCTGGTTCTATTAGATCTGGTATTATAGCTCAAGCGGCACCTATATGTCAGACGTTGTGCTATTGTGAATTATATTGCTGAAAATTTCATGTGAATAAAAATATTTATTTGTGAAAGATCCATAGAAGATATACATAGTAAAAACTAAGCTGAATATATTTTTATTATAAATTGAGCTACAACTATTACAAATTAAAGTTGGCAAATAAAGTTAAAATTTCGCAAGGAAAACATTTTGTTAGTACGCAGAAGGCAATTTCATAGATAAAATGTGAACTACAGTCAACTCTCTCTAAGTGCAATGCAATAGGACCATATACAAAAATTTTGCCAAACGTGCACTTAGAGGGATATTGCATTTAGAGAGATAAAAATTTATAGGTGTAATATTAGTTGGGACCAAGGGAAGGCATGCATTTACATAGGATGTGCACTTAGAGGACATGTACTTAGAGGGAGTTGACTATATAAAGAACTTTTTAGTTTGTTTTGATTTTTCATGTTTTTTTGCATAACACCTGATTTTGAAATCGATTTGGCCTAGGCAATTTTATAGATAAAATATGAACTATAAATGATTTTTTAGTTTGTTTTGATTTTTCATATTTTTTTGCATAATACCTGATTTTGAAATCGATTTGGCCTGGAAAATTTTTTAGAGTAGTGATACTAAAATGGTTCTCTCTAATACTCCAAATGATTCAGTTAATCTGTTTCGAATATCTGATATAAATAAATGGATATCTGGTTATGTTAATGTGAGTAAATGGATAACAAATTTATCTGGATTGAAACTTTATAAAATATATATAAAAAGATGCTGGTTTATAGTGTTCTGCACTGTATTACTAATCAATATTATTATTAATTAATTTATACAATTCCAATTTTGTTTAATTTATTTTTATACAAAGTTTAATCTTACTATTTTGGATTTAATATTTTTATACAAACTTTACTCTATTAATATATAATTTGTACTATTATATTTGATTATACTAAACTACACTAGTTATATTTATTATAAATATTAAAACTTTTAGTTATATAAAATTATATACTATATATTAGTTATACTAGCTATATTAGCTTCTATTATTTACAAACTTCTTATCTCTAACTTATAAATTTTATATTCTAAAAAAATACAAAAAATTTTAATTACTATTCTAAATTTTACTATCTTTTTAATCTTTATAAAAACTTAAAATAATTTCTATAACAAATACAAAACTTATAAAAACCAATCTATCAAATTTTTCTTTAAAAAATATCACAATATAGATTTCTTTATCATTTATTTAAATATGATTCAACTAGTTTTACAAACAATGCTTTTAACTAGTTTTAAGTATTTCTAATTAATATTAAAACAAAAAAACTAAAATTAATTTTAATACTATTTAATATTTAAATTTTTAATTTTATTAAATTATTTCTTCTAAATTTTATTCTAGTTAAATTATTCAATCTGAAGCTTCTAATCAACAAGCTAATAAAATTAATTTTGATAATTTACTTCAATATATAGTTTCTTAGCAACTATAATTTTTACTGATTTTATTTACTAAAATATAGTTAATAATAATATTAATATATTATTTAATTATTTTTTATTTATTTTTAAAAATATTCTATTTAACTTTACTATTATTTTCTTTACAAAATTAAACTACAAAAAAATTTATTTAAA